TTTTTTTTTGTGTGTAGCAGCATGAAAGATTTCAATGTGTTCGGACCCATATGTGTGCTTGAAGTGTGATTTCACGTAACCTTTTTTTCAGTTCGAAATAAATTGAGTTCCTAGTGTCTCAAATCTGTAATATGAGAGTGACATCTGATTGTGTGATGTGAGATGGTTATATGTGGAATTGAACTTCTAATTTCTAATTATTGATTCGTCTGATTGGTTAAGTCGTTTGGCAATGCATTTTGTTTACGATGAATAAGAATAATGTTTTGGATAAACCACACTTGGTAAGGGGCTTAATGTGTACCATTGATGATCCTGTGAACAAAAACAGAATGTATATACGTATGTGCAGCTTATATGCTATGTGTTTAGATTAAGTGTTAGAATAGTAGGAAAACTATTCTTAAATGCTAAATGTGTTTGGGCTCGGCATTTGTCATGCACATTTAGAAATAGAATTGTATCATGCTCTTACGAATGTCACACTAAAACTCAGTTATTAGAAACCTACCGTAACTATATACATGTGAAATTTCATTAATATAAATTATTACAGCATGTGTCGACGGTATGTGTAGTTCTATGCAAATTTGTTAACTCTAGTACTCTAGATATTTTGCTATGAACTTCAAAGATTGCTCTTTTAGACCGACAATGTTGTTTTGTGTCTGCTTATCTTATAATGGTGTGTTTGATTTTTTGAATTTGATGAAAGACTGCATAATTAACCGAGAAAGGGTAAAGCCCCATTGCTACCTGGTAGTTGAGAAACGCAAACCCTATTTCTTTTTATTCCTCGTAATTCCGTTTTACGTGTACGGTATTATCTGATTTCAGTTATGTAAAGACTTCTATTTATTTATTATTTATTTATTTTTATTTTTTTGATTAACCAAGGATTTAGATGGGGAAATCCGAGCCCACAATCGCTAATTCAAGTAAAATTAGATTCGAAGATAGTGATGACCATATAACTTCATCTGAAGATGAAGATGTAAGGAATTTTTCATGTTGGATTTCCATATTTTTTTTGATAAATTTTAATTTTCAGCACGTGTTATTGTCTTCTTCTTTTTTTAGGAGCGTGAAATAGAGAGGGAACTTGCTGAGGTGACATTTGAGGAGCTCCAAAGAGCTAAAGCTGATGGCTCGGAGATGGTTTACAGGAGGCCCAATACGGAGAAAAAAAGCAGTCGAGCAAATAAGAACAGGTTTTCTATCATCTTCATTGCTTTGCTTTTTTGTATGCTTTTATTTGTGCTTAATTGCTTATATGTTTCGAGATTTGTTTAGACCAATGGAGATGAGTAGCAAGAAGCCCGTCAGCAGATTTAGAGAAGTTATTCAAGTTCCTAAGAAGGTGAGTATTATCTTTTGTTTGATATGTAAATAATTGTTGGAATGTATGTATTTGTTTTTATTTTAATATATGTCAAGGATTTTATGCTAAGAAATTTTTTATCCATGGTCGTGACTGGAACTCTGTAATTATGATTTTCGGGGTGAAAACTTGAAATGATATATCCTTGTACTTCCTTATCCAAGGGAAGCCACATTGCATCACAAATTCAATAATGTTTATGGTGAGTCTATTCTAGTGTAAATTGAATAGCACCTTATATTATATGATGTCATTGCTTACGAAGTATGGATTGCTTTAATATAATTTGGACTTTATCACTTCGTTGGGGTCACAATGCTGAATAGTTATTTTTTTTTTTATTTTTTTTTTTTATGTGGAGGAAGTGATGATGTGTTGGTAACATTTGCTGCTTTCTTATAATATCTTTTGAGGGAATGAAATCTGTTAATATAAGCTACCACCTTCATTTCTTGTTGCGGTTAATGCTTTTTAATACCTTATGCACAGGTGGTACGGGATCCTCGATTTGAATCGTTATGTGGCACACTCGATGTGGACGGGTAAACTTCTTTTTGTTTCATATACCCCCCTTATTTTGCACACCTTCAAGTGTCTCTATTCGACTGCTCAGATGTCGCCCCATATCTATTAATCCTGATCATATATGCTTCAAAATCTGTTATGAATGTTAATTATCTATATACATGCTTCAAATCTGTTTTGAATGTTAGTGATCTAGGTCACCTTGAAATATAGACACTTTAATTTGTCAGGAGTGGTTAGAGGACATTTTCAGTTCTGTTATGGATGTCAAGGGTTTATATCATATAGACACTTGTCAGGGCTGATTAGAGAATAACATCTACCGATTTGTGCATTTTTTTTTTTCACATGATACAGTTTCTTGTAGTTGATCTAGGGCAATTTACGTATTTATGTAGGTTCAAGAAGAGATATAACTTTATTTATGATGAAGCACTTCCTGCTGAGAAAGAGGTATGACTCAATATTCCGATGCATACTTAATTTAATTGCTATTATTTGGTGCTCAGCTTGTGCACTCGATTTGGTTTTGGTGTCTGTAGGAACTGAAGAAACAGATGAAGAAAGCAAATGATCCAGAGGCCATAAGTGAACTGAAGGATCGACTGGCTCATATTGTGAGAGCTTTTTCCATTTTATGATTTTTATGTCTGCTTACTACATTTTTGTTTTCACATGCAAGTTGCTGATATTCAGTGTCTTCTAATGTACTAGGATAAAGAATTGAAATCTGCTGTAACAAAGCGTACCGAGAAGAATATCTTGGCTGAGCATAAGAAGAAAGAGAGAGAAGCTGCAAAGAAAGGGAAACAACCTTACTATCTGAAAAAATGTAGGTTCCCTCTCACTTTTAGATTGTTTGGTTTTTGTGAAAAAATTGGTTCAATATAGGAAACAAAGGAATACCATGAGTCGGAAACAAAGGAATACCATGAGTCATTTGACCATAGTAGTAAAACAATTGAAGAACTAATAAAGAAAAAGAAAAACAATAGTATTTCTTGAGAAAAATGCACCTTGCTAATTTTAAAATTCCAAAAATTCCTTCTCTTCATTCGGACAGTGATCTCTTGGTGGCTTATTAGAATCACATTACTCGGTTTTACGTTTATGCTTGATATCTCATCATTTGATAATTGAATTTGTCTAATATTGGGAAACCAAAGTTATGACTGTGTCAGACATTTGAACACACAATTGTCATTAACACGATACCTTTGCTTGCAGCCGAACTTCGGAAGCAACAGCTTATCGAGAAATACAAGGAACTCAAGGTATATTTAGTTGCTTACTTATAATACCTGTTCTTTTATTTATCTTGGCAGCCATGTCTGGTACTGTTGTCTTTTACTTAATCATCTTTTGTTGGAAATCTATTTTTTCTTGTGATTAATCAGGAGTCTGGCAAAGTCGAGTCTTTTATCGAGAAAAAGAGAAGGAAGAACGCCGCCAAGGACCACAGATACATTCCATATCGACGCCAGACAGAGAAAGGAAGCCAGCAATAGAAGTAGAGAACTGTTTTTTGCTTCACTTGTCGATTTCCCCCTTTCTAAAACATGCTGCTTACATCTGGCTGAGTGTCTGAAGATTCTAAAACAATTTACTATTTTTCGTGTGGTAGGAGAGGTGCATTAGAAAGACAAAACCCTCGATAAATCTCCCATGTTATTATGATCGTTTTAAGAATGGTGGAATTGTTTTCGATTCTTGTGGGTCTATCAATCTTTGTGATGTTTTGCATGCTGAAAACCCCTATGATTTTATTTTGTGTGAATTGAGTAACTGAAAATACTCGGAAAGCTTGGTTGAGCCAAATGCATTTGAGTCATTTTCTGAAATAAGATTTTGGATTGTCTGAATTTCCATAAGGTGGGCCTAAGAGCATCTCTAATAGTATACTATCCATTTTGTGTTGCATGTTAAGGAAGAAGGAGATTAAGAAATTGTGCCATGGTTAATGCTTAATATGATTTAATTTGACACGTGTAAGCTTATAATTGGTTGAAAAAGAAAAAAATGAATAAATAATATAATATATAATAAAAGTTGTTTAGAAATACTTCTACAACTCGAAAGACTCCTATAAATTTTTTGTCCCGCATAGTATTTTATGTGCTATGTGGCAACAAGATTGAGCAATCCAAGATGTTCTCACATGTAAAAGAAATATCGATCATAGACGCATGATAACATAAACCAAGTGATTCATAATTCATTAAAGGCTTAATTGCCTATAAATATAATACCTCAACTTTTTTATATAATCGCAAATAAAAATCAAGTTTTTTAGCTTTGTAAATAAATATCAAACATTTATTATGTGTTACAAATTTTTTTCCAAATCATTTTCCGGCCAAGTCGAGCTGAAGCGTCCGATCAAAAATCTTATGTAGCACTGATGAGGCTTGTTTGGCAGAACAATTTTTACACATCATCCTCCAAGTCATGTGGCAATAAAACCACTAATTCCCCTAAATAAAATCATAACCATATTTTTTTTTTTTTTTTTTTTTTTTTTTTGAAGAACCCATGAAAGCTTACCTGCAGAGGTGATGGTGGTCAAGCTACAAGGCTTTGGAGGCTCGTGCGGATAATAATGACTCGGGTGGAGCGTATCGAGGGAATGGGTTGAGCTCGTGCGGGCCCACCGGTCAACGTGTAAGAGCTCGGGAAAATTGGAAACGTGTTTCTTGAGCGACAACCGGAAAAAGACGTGCCTTTTTTTTTTGGTGATGGTGTTGTTCTTGATATAAGACTTTGAGATACTCTTTTCTTGTTTATAGGCAATTAAACCCTTCATTAAACAAGTGGTTTTCATAGTTTAATTGAGAAGAACATTAACCATTAATCAAACACTACTCAAGTGTTGGTACATTAAGTGAAAAAATTATTCAATATCCAGCCTGTTAATTTGAAAAACAGCAATATTGATTTTCTGAATAGTTAACTGATACACAAGAAAAGGACAAGACAATGACTAAAGATATTTCAAAGCATGTTCATGCACATTTTATATTCTCCACAAGTTTCTAGCACTAAGATTGATTTTCAAACAGGGCAACAACAAGTCCTTTTCCAGAACAGCAACATTTAAAATAGATATTCCAAGAGAACATTCACTTTGACCTGTTCAAATCTCAACCATAATTCCTACTCTGCACAGAGAGAGAGAGAGAGAGAGAGAGAGAGAGAGAGAGATTTTACTTCTGTCCACAAAAACAAACCCTGATCCAAACACAACACCAAACTGGAGTTCCTAACAATACTAACTTTCCCGGCTTGCCATTCGACAAACGAACCCTACGACTATAAGAAAACACGACATCCTATATAAAGAAGAAAAAAAAAAAGAGATGGGTCGCAATTAAAAAAGCTGTAACCTCTCCCTATACTCGGCCGGACATATCAACACTGAATCTACACAAAGACCGCCTTTCGTGTGCGTGCAGTCAATCTGGGTCATTGAAAACTTGACCCTCATCGACCTGCAGCTTTTACCGACAGTAAAATCCCCAGCATGATAGTGATTCCACCTCCCGGGTTCCTTCAAGTTCAAGTAACACTGTTTCGTAGCCTGTTGGCCGTCCCGAGTCGAGAGCTGAAACCGGACAGGCTTCCTTTCCCAGCCGTGAACGTGCTCTGAGTTACACACATGCCGGCCGAACCTCTTGTGAGTGCGGCCCAGCTGAAGTCTGAAAAAGAGACTGTACGAGCCTGTGGGGAATGGGAAATCGATCTCCCCATTCACCTCGAACCACCATGTTTGCTGGAGATATGCCACTGAAGCGAATCTAAAAAAAAAAAAAAGAATCAATTTTTACAATAATTTTTAAGGGTAGATAGAAAAAGATGTGATTAAAAAGAATAACATACATTGTGTGAGATATTTCTACATTACATCATGGACTTGATTAATTCTACCATTTCTTAGAAGATAGTACAGAGTAGATGGTCGAATATAGTCTTTAATATCAACACAATGTGAAATATGTGTCAAGAACTACAACCAGTTTGATCATTTTGCATAGATCTGAGAGTTTATTTTTCAAATGCAAACAAATGTTCCACGGAAGATAGAAAATAATCTGTGCTTATGTGAAAAATTGGAATTCCGATGACTGAAAAATAGGCCAAAATGTGGCAATAATTTCGGGGCAAAAAATTTATTTTATAGATCTAATTAACTATATATTACTAAATAGGCACCAAACAATAACAGAAAACATTGCGAAATTGAACCGAACTTAAAATTTCTAGAGCACGTTCGAATATGATAATCACTACTGACAGTCATATACGATCTTCAAAGACAAACGCAGAAACATATCACCACTGTCATAAATTTTAGAACGGATTTCCCGGAGAACAACTTGGGAACAAATTCAAAGAAACTTGGTCCCGAGGCTATATCATACAACTCGTGGAAAAGAACCTTTATTTTAGGAGAACCCAAGCAGAAAAAACCCAGAACACTATAATTTGCTCATCTGAAATAATAACAAATGCAACAGGCCACAACAGATTCAGCTCCTAACAACAAAATTCTGTCCTAAGAGAAACAAAGAACTCAGATTGATTAAGAACCCTCACCTCGATCCTTCCATCGGGATTCGACTCCAATATCTCCTGTCATCTATCCCTGTTATTGCCAATCCACTCGATGATACTAATGTACAAGTCTTGCCTGTGCTCTTATCCAACCACACTTTCTGCAAAGAATCCATATGTACAAACTCTTATTAGAAATTGTCTAAAATCCACCATAAACCCTTTTTTTCTTAACACCAAACAAACATCAAGAAACCTTGCTTAAACCTTTTCAAGAAAGGTAACCTCTAAATCTTTTTTTCCTATACTAAACCTCACCCAAAATACAGAACCTTGAACAAACACGACCACATCAACAAATAAACAAACAGAGATTTCAATATTGAAAGATCAAATTAGAACAGCATAAAGATCATACCTTTGTGCCACCGTCTAAAAGATTGGGCCTACAGAGCCTGGAATAAATATCCCTTTTGCACAGCCCTTTACAAAATCCATCATCCTTCTCGAACACCTTATCAATAACATCTCCATAATTCAACGGCAGCTTGGACTCCCACACGAAATCGGCCGACGATGCCCCTCTAAAAGCCCGGTTCAACATCGCCATCCGGCAGATCTGCGGCGGATCCAGGTACACCAGCACCGAGGCCACGCAGCTCTCCGGCAAGTCCCCCAACCCGGTCTCCGGCGACGGGCCGGCGTCGGAGCTTCCACCCCCAGCCATGAACGAAAACGACGAGCCCATTTTCATAAAAAAAAAAAAAAAAATCAGCTGAATTGAGCTTGCCTTTGCCTGACAAATGATAATTTGAGGAAAAGGGAATGTACAGATGCTCGTGAGGATAGCGATTTAGAGAGAGAAAGTGAGGAGAGAGATGCCAGTTGGCGTATATATAGCAGAGAGCTGTAGGTGGTTGTACGGGTGGCTATGTGTTTTGTTCTTTATAATAATAATAATAATAATAATATTTTCTTTCTCACTTTCCGTGTGTGTCTGTGTGGAATTATTGATGGGATTATGTATTAATTAAGGAGGGTAATTAGTTGAAATCATATTTGGTTGCCTTGATTACAGTGTTTTGTGACCCGGACCGGCCCGGCGGGTCGACCCGGGACCCGGTCGACCCGGAGCCAGAACCGGTCCGGGTGGGTTAATTAGACCGGGCAACAACGGACCCGGTCAAACCCGGTCAAAACCCGGTCGACCCGGCCTTGACCCGGTCGACCCGGGACAATGACCCGGCTGGGTCAACCCGGTTGACCCGGTCTATATGTATTTTTTTATTTTTTTTTTTTGTTTTTAAATTTTCTTTTTCTTTTTAAAAAATAAAATTATGTATATATATTTATATAATAAATATATACATATTATTACCACTTTAATCTACAAATTTTACATACAAAATATTTAAATTTGTTATTTTTATGTATATTTATATATCACAAAATACTCTATATATAATTTTATAAATTTTAAAATTAATTATCCGGTTCAACAATTGACCCGGTGACCCGGCGGTTGAACCGGTGACCCGGTGACCCGAAGACCTGCCCGGGTCGATTACCGGGCCGGGTTTAAAAACTATGCTTGATTATTATAAATGTTATTGGATAAGATTTTAGTTCCATTTTAGGTTTATTTATCAATGTTTTTGGATAAGAATTTGGTTTCATTTAAAAGACCATTGTGTCCTCATTGATTGGTAAGTATTTTTGTCATAAAAGGAATGGTATTTTTGAAAATATGATTACCTTACCCTTGTTTGCTTTGAAGGATTAGGTATGATATCTTGCCTTATCCTGCCTTAATTCCTCATTTGATTGGAATGATGACGGTCTGCTAGAAGCCTAGTTCCAAGATTAAAACACTTGTAATCCTTGTTTCATGAGATAACTCAATCTCAGCTATTGCATAGGGTATCAACAATCCTGGCTTGTAAATTATCATCTTTGTCCCCAACTTTTATTTAACTGATTTATTCAAAATTCAAATGGATAATAGAGTAATTTAAATTATTATGTTTGATTTTACATTTTTTTTTTCTTTTTTAAACATAAAGTTATCCTAATCCTTATCTTATAGTAGTATAACAAATATAAGATGATATTTGTCCAACAGTACAATTCTTCACAACTGAACAATTTTAGTCCAATCTCATCCCGTAAAGCAAACATGGCCTAAACATAATGAAAAATTAGGCAAGTAGGTTAAATATATTGAAGGTAACACAATCATGGATATAAGTAGTTATTAGGAAGGTATATTTTTGGTTCAATATTAGTTGGAAGATGCAAATAAATATTAACTTGTAAATAATTTGAAGTTGCATCTGATATGGCAATTATTTGAAAGCTAATGCCAATTGACAAGGCAACAACTGATTATGAAGTACTCATAACAGTACGCGACGCGTTCTTTTTTTATTTTATAACAAAAAAAAAATATGAACATATTGCAAAATAAATAAATAAACGTCGTGACTCGTGATAACGTGTTGATGAGTCGGCACCAAATGTGAAACCACTAGCCATTGGCAATTTTTTTAACAATGCTTTTTATAATTATTTTAGTGCGAAATGTTACGGTCTCGTTACGGAATCTTTTTCGTCGAGATTTGTAATCGGTAGATCATCATGTAACTATGAGAGATTGTTGATCTAACAGTTACAAACCTAACGAAATTGTTCCGTAACGGGACCGTAGCATTTCTCTTATTTTAATATTCACCGACTTTTCTTTTCTTTTTTAATTATGTTTATTTTTTATAGAAAATATGTTTTCCGTTATTTTGTCTGTATCTTTAAAATTTTATCAATACGAATTTTAAAATTAGATAAACATTTTTTTTTTTTATTTTAAACAAATTGTTATCTATCTACTTACATATCTTTAACTATAATGCTCACAACTAGTATTTAATTTTCACAATAAATATATATTACTTTAATTAATATTCACTAGAATTATCATCATATATTTTTTTTTTTATTTGATCAAATGTATACTATTCACATAATTTGAACATATATATATATATATATATATATATATATATATATATATATATGTGGGGTAACTGATATCATAACGCAAATGAATATATTACGAGAGATGTTACGGTCTCATTACGGAACCATTTCGTCCGAGTTCATAACCATTAAATCATTCATTCCAGCACGTACAATCATAAGCTATAATGTTTAAACGCATCATAAGCTAAGTTTGATAAGATGAGCGACATATTATCATCAAGGCCATTATAGGCTTACATACATATATGGCAATATGTACAATCATTAATGCCGCCAGCTGGCAAATTGAATAATCTAATGTATAATCCAGGTTAGTACATGTACTTTCTTTACATGCATGTGTTATATAATGTTTGATACGTATATATGAATATAATTGATTGATTTTTCTAACAGTTAGCTCATGTGATAGAATTTGCCAACAGCTGCATGTGCATTCTGTTTAATGCAGCTATCAATTTTATTATAATGTCAGTTTTAATAAATTATATATTGATTTCAATATTTGTTGTAAATATATTGTAACACCTACATATATATAATATAAGTGATTAATATATGGAGTAGAAACTGTATACATTATCATAAAAAAATAAAGTAGTTTTAACATAACTAAAATTAATAATTTTTTTTTTTTTTTTAATTTGAAATAATATACACTACAATCTTTTCAAATTAAGCGTCGATTTTATAGTATTTGCCACAATTATTCAACTTAATTCACTATGACTTATTTAAAATTGAAATGATATATTACAACTATGTCTGAATAAGAGAAAAAACTATTGAATCACCATGACTCAATTAAAATCGAAATGATATATTATATCTGAATAAGAGAAAAAAATATTGAAGTATTTTTTTTAGTATTATTTATTGATGATGATTAAATATGATAAATATTCACTTTCTAGAAATATAAAATAACAATTATTTTATAATTGGTTGATGCACATATAAATTAAATATTTAACAATTATATATATCACAAAACTAAAAAAAAAAAGATAATAACCTCTGTGTGTATTTGTATTCGGGCTAGTTAGCTCGCGGATGTTTATATTTCTTTTGAGCAATATATATCCTGTCGTTTCGAAAAAAAAAAGATAAATTTAATATTAATATTCCGAATGATTTTTATACTAATCAATATTTCTTCACTACTTTAATTTATACAAGTTATTATTTTTTCCTATCCATCGCACATGTTACATACTGTATATTCAATCTATCAAGCATCAATGAAGCATCGAATTATAAAGTACTGTACCATATTCACTCCATGAGCTAAATAATAATAATATCTGAAATGTCACAGTTGATCAAGTTGATCAATTTTCAGTATCAGGCATATATAACTCCATCAGTCCCAGAGCTTTTCACGAAAACACATACACAAGAATCGTCTCAGTCGGCCAATCTTTCAAACTGTTTTCCGGGTCTAATTCATGTGTTCGCCATATAAATCATACTCGAGAATCATCATATATCTGCGAAATTATATTTTTTTTCCCCCAACCAAATAATGAATGTCATCCAACCAAACGCGATAAACCAGACCAAGAATTCGGCATCTCCCCAACCAAATAATGAGTGTTGCCTGCATCTTCAGAAACTTTACAACATTAAGCATAAAAGGCTATATCAATTCCAGATACAAGGCTTCTTGTTTGCTGGTTAGACCCAAGTCATGCAGAGACGAAGTACTCTCTTCGTCACTGAATGCACGCCGAGGATATGGCCTCACCTGATTAAAAAATAAAAACAGATTATGAAAACCATATTAAAATTCATTTTCAATCTAGACTTGTAAATATAGCAGTCATTTTTTTTAAGAATATGTTTTATAATTTGGGAGTTTCAGGGTGATGCCAAAAACATTATGTTATTATCAACCAGTTGGCTTAATTATTACCAATCTGTAACTGCCAGATTTGACCACTCTGCCGACATCGATGAAGTCGAACAGACACTGTAAAACAATAGAAAATTATGTGAGTTTAATATTCATGAAATTCATTTTTCAGCATCAGATCATACACATGCAAAAAAGCAACTCACATTACATATATCTACCACAAGGATTCCCCGCAGGCCGCAAGCTAATTTGCATATATCAACATATTTATGTTTTTTATTTCAGATGTGTCGATATGTTTCTCAATTCAATAATAACAATAACAAAACAGCAAACAAGATATTGAATACAGTTTTAGAATACTGGAAAAGGAAAAGAACTTTTAATGAATATTTAAATATTAATAGAGAAATTGGTTGTTGATATAATAACCGCTTTAATTCTCTATTGTTCACTATACCGATGTTCTCATCTTTTTGAGAGAAATTTAACCAAGAAACCATAAATTGAAAAAAAAAAAAAAAA